CTGCAGACTCTGAGGTCAGTTCACTGACTGTCTGTTACTGTTGGAGATCTGATGTGTTTAATGACAACTGAAGCTCATTGATGTTCAAACAGAACTTCATCCATGAAGCTGGATCGGCAGAATATTACAGTATTATGGACTGTAGATGATGAAATCTTTAAGTTCCTTGCAACTGTACATTGAGAAGCATTGTTCCTAAATTGTTGGACTATTTGCTCATGCATTAGTTCGCAAAGTGGTGAACCTCGTCCCATCATTGCTTGTGAACGACTGAGGCTTGTGGGGATGCTCCTTTTCTACCCAATTATGACTCCCACCTGTTTCCAATTAACCTGTTCACTTGTGGATGTTCCTATCAGGTGTTTCTGAGCATTCCTCGACTGTCCCTGTCTTTTGTTGCCCTTGTCCCGGCTGTTTGAGTGTGTTGCAGTAGGTTTATCAGTTTATTTTGTCATTGTCGTGTATGTCACACGGTAGTGTGTGTGGTTCTTTAAAGTTAAAATCCACTGTTAAAGATGATGGTGAGAGATGTGATAATAGAAGGAAATATTTATTAAACGGTCTTTAAAATACAACTAAAATCAAACCAGCCTGAAAAATAAGAATACAGTTTGGATAAAACATACCAGAAAAAAGTATTAAAGTTCCTAAAAAGTCACTAGAAAAATGTCCAACAACAGTAAAGACAGAACTCAGGGCAGGAGGATGAAACCAATATTCTGGCAGCGCCAGAGTCCAAACCCTTGTTGTTCTGGTGGGGAGAGGTCTGGTCCTTTAGTTCTGGGGTTCCCGAGCCCCTCAGCCTGCAGCACTCGGCTGCCGTGGTCCACTTTTCCCTCTTCCATCCGGTCCTTTCCTTTTCCTTTGCGGCTGCGAGCCGTGCTGCTCCGTGTGCTCCAACCCGGTTACCTGCCGACACGGCGTGCGTCTCTGCCGTTCGCTGCTGCTCTTCGTTTCCCTGTTTCTCCCGTTTTCTCCCTTTACTTCTGTCTCCATTCCTTCATTCAGGGCACCAGGTCAGGTGTGGTCCAATCAGAGGGTGTCTTGGCTTGTTAGTGCAGCTGCCTTCTATTAATTCCACTCCTCAGTCCAGACACACAAACATGCAGGCTGAAAGCAATCAAAGGCATAAAACTATAGTATAAAATAAACACCATACAATGTCTACAACTAGTAAAATCATGCAATATAAAAATACACACAGCACACACTCTATGTATAAAATCACAGCAAAGGGTCAGTGATAAAAGACTGCTTCTAGTGTCACACCTCGACATGTATTTGATTAAATATAAGTTGAAAAAGATTTGCTGATCATTGTATTCTGTTTGTTATTTATGTTTCACACAACATCCCAACTTCACTGGAATTGGGGTTTGTTAATGAATGTTTGTAGTTTGTGCTGAAGAGTCACATCTGGATCCAGAAGATCCTCTGAACTCAGATCAGTTTGAAGAGAAACATTTCTTTGCTTTGTGTTCTGTTCAATGTGATTTCACTGATCCTGATCCTGTTGATGCTGCAGCATGTTGTTGATGTGTGTGGACATGAACAGCTGGATGGATGTTGTGCTGACATCTGGATGATGTGTGTAGAAGCTGACATNCAATTCATTTCTATGGGAGCCAGGGCAGCAGCTAGCGGACGTAGTGATCCTGCAGGTTTTTGACACTTCCGGGTTGGCTTCATTTTTCAGGGCCGGTTGCTACGTCCATCTTTTATACAGTCTATGGGATATACACGACGTACAGACTAAATGTCTCTAAAGCTAGCGCTACATACAGACAGGCGGACTTATTGCAATTCTAGGATTTTCAGGATATACAGACAGACCAACCGCTAACTCCAGGGCTAGTGCTACATATAACGGGCTGCGTAACCGACTCTAATAAGGCTGCTGGACTTATGATGCTAGCAAACAACAGAGAACCAGACCTGACGGGAGCCGACCGAGGAGAGAGGGGAAGCAGGGAGGAGGGTATGGTAGTGGCGAGGGATTGGCGTTGCCGCGGCTGCGGTGGAGAGGCAGGTGGAGACCGGGAGCGGACGCCAGAGAATCCCGGGAGGGGAAGGTGAGCAGAGCTGCTGCCGGCGGACTGACGGACCCGTAGCCGAGGAATGGCGTCGGAACGGGCGAGCTGGAGAGAACCGGCAGGTGACGAATCCGGTTCCTTGTGGCAGGAGTCGCCGGCTGACGGAGTGGCTTGGTGATGGTGGCAGATGATCCGGGCTGTAGACGGAAAAAGACAGAATTAGATTGCGACCGACAAGGAAGGAGCTGAGAATAAATAATCTTGGTCAGGACTCACTGAGGACTGTTTACGGTCCAGCAACGAGTAGTGGTCTGAACTGGGTTTAAATGCTGGTCTCAGGATGAGACGCAGCTGCAGCAAACGCACGCCAGCGTAATCAGTGGATTGGCATCACCTGCCCGCTCTCTTCATTCACTGCACCAGCTCACGCCCACCGAGTTAGAGAGGAAAGGGAGAGAGAGAGCGAGGGCTGCCGCTACCCGGCCCTGGCGGCAGCGGGCGTCACACAAAGTCATGTTGAGCTGCACATTCAGAACCTGAACACATCTGATGGATCATCACTGATTTTATCTACATCTTTTATTCTTTATTCAGAATGNTGATTTTATCTACATCTTTTATTCTTTATTCAGATTATGGCGCTGCAGTTTGTCAGAGATCAGCTGTGATTCTCTGGTCTCAGCTCTGAAGTCCAACCCCTCCCATCTCAAACATCTGGACCTGAGCTGGAACGACCTGCAGGATTCAGGAGTGAAGCATCTGTGTGGTTTTCTGGAGAGTCCAGACTGCAGCCTGCAGACTCTGGAGTAAGTTATCATGTTTTCAGTGATTCAACTGCTGTAAATCATCCACATGTGAAGAGTTTTTCTCTTTCAGTGTAGTCGGGAGTCATAAAGTCAAGACCCAGTCAGGAGTCAAAGCTCCAAGTGTCATTAAAGTAGTTTGTGCTGAGCTGATATCAGCCAAACACTCTGCTCACCTGTCAGCACCTGTTGTGTGTCACATCACTGCAACACTTCAGCTGTAACCTGACGAGTGGCACAGACTCTCTACTACATCCGTCACAGCATGCAGAGCTGTGGGCTCACTGAAGCCCAGATAGTGGGTTGATCTGCCGGCCAACCTTTGATATGGTTTCACCTTTATGTCCTAGAAGCAAATGTATTTGTCCTGTGTGGTGCAGCAGCTTCTCCATTTATACAATAAATGAACAGATGTCATTCATGAAGCTGCACATTTGGAGAGAACATGTGGAGAAGATTCAACGTTGACTTCACGCATATCAATCCGTGTCCATGGTACCAAGGTGGAGCTGCAGCATCAGTTCAGTGTCAGCAGCACGTCTGGATGAGCTGATCTCTGCAGCTCTCTGTCAGGCTGAAGGACAAACATTTGACAAGTCAGCAGTTGTGGACATGAAGCGTTACAGAGCAGTTTATCACCTGAGACCAACAAACTTAGTCATCCTGCAGTTTGGTGCCAACGATGCTTTGGGCTCCAAACCAGGACGCTTTAAAGGATGCAGCTGTTGTGCAGCAGCTGGATGGAGGCAGCAGGTGTGTTCCAGCTGGTTGTAGATCAGGATGGATGTTCAGGTGAAGTCCCTAAAGCACATGTTCCCACTGTGGAGGTTTAAAGACGCCGAAAGACACAACGGACTGGATGTGTGTGTGTGTGTGTGCAGCTTTTCTGCTCTAAGT